GTTTGTGCATATTTCGGTGCAAACGTCATTCGATAACAATTGAGATACCATAACTATCAAACAATATGGCTTACGAATTATAATTAAGAGTATCGTAATTCAAGATTTATTATATTAACGAATTTTTGCCCCGTGATAAATTTGTTCGCGTCGACAAAGGCAACGATGGAAAATTACGATATTTGTTTCTCTGCGCGTTTGTCAACGTTCTTCGAACGTTCATCGGAAAATTATTATCTAAATTTCTGTTTCTTCTGATCGCAAAAAAACGTATCATCGTCGATGAAATGAAAATCACGCGTGATAAAAATTTGTACTAGTCGAGACACGAGGAATTTCACCAAATTCGGTTTCAAAGAGGAAAAGATTTCGTTTATTTATTATTTTTAATAAAATTCTTTTAACGCATATTTTAATATTCCCGCGTAGATCTGGAATTTCATTCCTTCGATAATTTTTTTTCTAATATTTTTCTTTCTTTTCTTTTGTAATCCTTTCTTCGCCGCTCTTTTAATTTTTGAAATTTTTTCTTTGACACCTGTGTACCATTTTTTTTTTTTTTTTTTTTATTATTCGAATTCCTCGTTCCTAGGAATATTGGTTTTACTAAACCCTTCAGAGTACTCGCTAGAATTCCCAACTGGAATTTCCAATAAAGTAGTAGTATCGCTTGGCAAAATATGAAAATTTTTATAGAACCGTAATTCTATGAAGATATCTTTGAAAGAAACTCTATGGTAATAAACTCCACATACCGATCCAACGTAAAAGAACCGACCACGAATAGTTGATCCATCTTGAAATTCCACTCTACATAAACTTTACTCAATATTAATTACCAAAGAAAAAAAATACAAATTGATTCATCTTCACCATTTTACATTCCCTTCAAAATTTCTTAACGAATTATTTATCGAGCAATTTCTGTTTCCAAATTATAGCCAATCAAAATATAACCGTTCATCGGCTCAAACGAGGTATCCCAATTCCTGATCTCTCTATATATATTTAATACCGTATTAATCACCGCCGATTCATTCGATCTCTCGAACATCGAGAGATGCGCTTTAATCGAACGAATACATTCCACTTTCCTCTTCCTCGTTAACCTCCCTTTGCCAAACTCGCGTTGCACATTTTTTCGATGCGTGCAGGGAAGCGGATCGACGATCGTGGCTTTTGCGGCGAGAAATCAGATCGATAACGCGTGCAACCATTCAGACGATCGTTCGAATAACGAAAGCACGAAATGACGATTTCTCGTGGAGGAAAAGATAGAGAGAGAGAGAGAGAAAAAAAACATTAATAAAATCGAGTCGAAAGATTGGATCGAAGCGAGAAGAGTTTATTAAATGTCGACCGATTTTTCTCCACTCGATTTAAACGATCTTCGGATAATTGAATTAAGAAACGAGCCAAGAATTCTCTCTTCTCCGTTCTAAAATACTATTACTCATTCAATTTCTAACAACGAGGGAGAGACAATGATTCGCGATTCGGGGAAGGATTACAATATTGACGCACGGATTTCGATAAAATAAGATAAACCCTCCTCGTAAACTTGACACGAATCTCATGTCACGGAAGAGAAAAAATTTGATAAGCTGATTTAAAAATCAACGAGACGTAGAGGGGAGGATTCGAATAAGATTATTGTTAGGTTATAGAAGAAAGGAGGAACGCGCATAAAACATGTGTTCCCGATCGTCGTAATCGGTCGTCATAACGAGGGAGATATAAACACCTTCGTCGTAAAGAAAGATTCGAAGTAACGGATAGAAGGCGCGAAAGAAAAAGAAGCGAGGCGAAACGACACTTTGCTCGCCTCATAAAACAATAACTGCTAATAAGACGCAATTGTTCGTGGCGCGGAAGTAATAGAAGCGGAGTGGGCAATAAAACATCTGATCCGTTTGTCCCTATCGAAACGTATATAAGAAGGTGGTTAGGTTTGGTTGGTGTACTCCGTCCGCCCTCGTCAATAATGATCCGGGATCATCGGATGATAATTCGCGATCGTGAACGATAAAATGGGAGGGGGAGGGGGAGGAATGGCGAGAAATACTTTTCACGGACTACGAAGCGGAAAATCGGTTTATTTCTCGATCTTTCGAACGTGGAACATCTCGGCCGTGATTCGCGAATCTCTCTGCACGCGAACTAAAAGATTTACGATCGATATATATCCATCCTTATCTTTCGTCAAAATCTTCTCGATAAATTGTTAAAGTTTGATAATAAAATTTATCTTCGACGAATATTTCCTTTTTTAATTTAATTTAGTTTTTAATTGAATTTAAATGGAACGAACGAAATAAAAAGTAAATAAAAGATCCTAAAAGATTCTTAAAACGATTACACGATTTGATTAATTACGCCGTATGATCATGTGATTTTGATACGCATTCCGTTTACCGAATTCAACACCGAATTTTCGTAATGAAATTCGTATCGTTATTATTAATATTCATTATTTTGCGAAGCTAATTGGACGGTTCGATAATTAGATCGTTTGAAAGAGAACGTGTTTCGAAACGAATTAATTGAGCTACGTAATATCCTGATTTGAAATTTTAATCCATCTATAAAGAGCGAAAACAATGATCGAATACGTGCCTCCGAATAAGTGCGAGTCTCATGATTCGAGACCGTAAGAATCTCTTTAATTTGAAGTATATATATATATATATATTCCCTCGAATTCCTCTCATTATCGTTCGTTCTATAAATGATCGTCGAAAATAAAACAGATTTCTTCAGAACGTGTTTCAGATCACGATTATATTTTCACGTTCTATTATTCTATCTCCCGCGAAAAGTATTTCCAAAAGTATTTTAAAAAATTACTATTATAATGTAGCAAATGAATCATCGATGATTCACGAAAGAACAAAACTTTTAACCCCATGCCACATGATCTGACCCGTGGTAAGGACACTCGTTAAGATTAACTAAATGTTTGCTCAAGTATATATACTTCGAGCTATGTAACGTTTAATTGAACCATCGAGTAGCGGCATTGACTGATGTTTTAATGTCGCACATTGCATTGTTTTAAGAACTCGTGCGGTATTCTGTCATCCTCGATTGAAATATTCTAATTCATTACATTTCGAAACGTTCGAAAAATCTCGAGTTTTATGCCGATTTTATGCCGATTTTCTTCGAAAGATAAATAAATTAGATTCCAACAAAATACGAAGAAACCTCGTTGTATTAAGTAAGAGTTTAACTTTTCTTTAAAACTTTCTAAAAAAAAAAAAATTTCATCCACGCACGAAAACAATTATTTTTTGAAATTAAATTTTCCACGGAAAAACCCTCGCTTTTCTCTACAAACGCGATATATACGTATACGTGTCAATCGATACACGTTCTTGGTTGCACTGGGCCAAGTGGAGCATGGATTGAGAACCGCTGGCGTCTACCGCGAATAAACAGATCATCGACAGCTCTTTCATTGTCAATGCTCTTCCGAATCGTATGAAGAGCAGTGTTGGTTAAAGGAAAGAGAGAAACGTGAGCAAAGAGGCGAACGGAAAGAGGTGAAGAGGAACTAATACACGAAGATGTCAGGTTTGTTGGACGATGATGAACAACCTCGCTATCAACTTCCTGCTAGAATTGATATAGATGCGCGGGCCCTGTTCCTACTACGTTAAACGCGACGAAAGGGTCGTTGATCCGAATAGTTCAGCAAGTTATCGACTTTCTTCTCTTTCTCTCTCTCTTTCTCTCTCTCTCTCTCTTTTTTTGTCATAACGCTGATCCTCGCTGTTTCGCCTGGGAATTTTTAAATGACGACGCTTTATACTCTCGTCGAATCGTGAAAAAAATGGATTTTCCCAATTCGCGATCAATCGACGGAAACCGACAACGATTGATATTCCGACGATGGAAATTCAAGGAAAAGAGAATAAAGGAATAATATATTAGAAGACTTAAATCATCTATTTTTAAAAGATTTAATCTACTAATAAAAGAACGATGACTAAACCAATTGTCAAGAAATATTGTTGAGAAGATAAAGTTTTAGATATTCCTTTCATTGCGTTGTGACATATTGAAAAATAGAATAATTTTGATAAATAAATTTGATGAAACAATCTGGAAAATTATTAGTGATAATAATTTATCGTAATTTTTCTTGAAATTCATTGTAATGAAGCAAATGCTCGTAATTTTGAATGGAGGTTATAAATTTTCATTTGTAAAAAAACAATCTGTATTAAAACAATGAATTATAAAAAAATACGATTATTATTCCATTTTACAAAATGGAATCGAAGAATACTGCGAATTTCAGTAATGATTTAAATCTAATAGATGGAAATATTTCGAAGTAGTACGTATGTTCGTAATAAGACGTATCTGTATTTGACCATGAAAGATTTGATCGTTTTCCTTTCACTTTTTGGCGAACCAGCTTTTCATCGGTCGAACGCGTATAAAAGAATCATAAAATTTTCTGTGATAAACATTACTACATTTGAATGAATAATATTCTCGATAATAGAATATACCAATATGTGTTTCTCTTGTAAAAGCAATCTCGTAATCTCTTATAGGAATAACGTAAACTTGACGAAAAAAAAAAAACTTCGTTGGAAATACGTATAAGAAATATGTAAATACTCGTGTATACATTCGCGTTTCCAAAAGAAATTACGTTTCGATGATTGTACGTACATACCTATATTTCATAGACTGTCTATGGGACACGAGTCAAGAAAAAAATATTTATGATATACCTACTGTAATGTATATACAGTTCGTATCCTATTACTATTTCGAATTACAAGTAAGCCCTCGAATGAATCTAATTTCATCGCGTATAATTCTTTTATTTTTTTTTGACAGCGATCTGTTTACTAACAAGCAGCCGGCCATTTTCGAGCGCGCGGTACAGGGCGTAACCAAAGCCGTGGAAAAGTTGTCCCTAACCCTACCTATGCCTCAACGTGTTAAAAGAAAAATCTCTGATAATCATTGTCACTTACCTTCAGGATACGCTTGTTTGGTTTGTACCCAGTCGATGAACGTGTTGGTCACGTTGTACAGCTGGCCCATGCCCTTGGGGTTGAACTTCGTGGTGGCGTTGTAGGGCAGCCCGGTCGTGTTAATCGTTGTGTAGTTGAGACCTTGCGATGCCATGATTCCGTTCAGCTGCCGGTCCAGATCCTCGCTGATTACACGCATCCGATTGGTCAGTGTTTCCTGGCAGTTAACTGGACACGACACCAGTAGAACAGAGAGCAGACCGAGGACCGCGAATCCATAATGCACCACGGCATTCGGCCGAAAACCACAGAACAAAACGAAAATCATGGCAGCGACTGACGCCCGGGACGCGTCGCTACGGACTGATGCCTCGGTTCGTTTCGGAGGCACGCGGAACCGAACCATCCCCACTCCGCCACCGTTGCCGTGTGCTTAGCCATTGCTTCGTAGTTCTGGTCCATTCGTTCCTATCGTTCAACGACCTTTCTTAACCAATATTCTTCTTACTTTAAATTAAATTAAATTAAATTAAATTTTATTCGAAAAAATTTATCTACTGTTTACGCAATAATGATTTGTAATGAATATCTTACACGGAATTTTTTGATATATATATTTTTTTTTTATAGCAATAGTTTAATCTTCTCCATTTCTAGTCCACTTGTTCCTATCAGTTATCGTAGAAATGAACGAGTAATGTTCTGCAAAATAGTGACATAATTCTTGTATTTTTTTATCGATATAAGGATAAATATAATTCATAGATATTTGTTTAAATGTATTTAAATATCGAAATGGCTTACATTTAATAGTTATAGCATCGATTTTCGCGCTCTTACAGGATTGGTCGACATTGATCAAGTCTGGAGAAAGGACCAATCAGAGCATTCAATTTTTCCCGCAAATTTGAAACGCGTGTCTTTGTTCTTTTAGCGCGAAAAAATTGTGTTTTAATTAATCGCCGTGTCACGGACATGATACGATGATTGTTTTTGTACGGTAATTGCGAACAAAAGGAAGAGCAAAGATAAATTAACGTGGGAATGATGACGAAAGATACATTGCGTTTCTTACGTCATTTAATTGACTTGATGCAACAGTTCAAGATGTATATTTACAAGATTCTTGCGTTAATGCTCGTCCAAAACATCCTATTTATTCTCATCACTTTTATTTTTTTCATTTAAATTCCAAAAATTTATTATCGCGTTAATTTATAAAGATTATCTTTACTTAAATTCTTTCATTTTTATCCTCCGTAATAACCTTAAAAATATATCGATATAAAATATTTATTAATTAATTAATCTTGCCAACATCTGATAACTAAAAAGAACTTATCAGTTTCGTATATTCCAATGAATATTATTAATCAATTCATGCTTCTTCAGATAATTTAATAATCATCAATAATCAAATCAATTTGAAAGATAACAAGGATTGTTGTAGATATAGATTCATCGACAAATTTTGATCGATCGACAAATGTTTGATTTTGATTTCACAAAACTAATTAAAGACACTTAATTCTAAGTTTCTGATAACAATCTTAAACACGTTTATGATTTCCAAATTTCTTCGTTAGATTCAATCCAATCAATTGATTATCATTCAGATAGTTTTGTAAATTTTAAGTTTAAAAATAATTCTTGTATCTTGTATTATCAGGATCGGAATGAAATGTTTCATATTTATTTAGAAGAAAAAAAAAAAAAAAAGAAAAAAAAGAAAAGAAAAGAATTTCCCATAAAACGAAGAATCAAAAGTTGGAATGCAGTTACAATTGGCCGTTTTTATTCGTATTCCATACCAGTTCGACCAAGCTTTCACGAAGAGATCCACTTTTGTGGACTAGTTTAATCGAAGTTAGCTTCTTCTAAAAAAAGAAAAGGAAAGAAAAAAGGAACAGTACCATCAGTAGAAAAAGTATCATATTCTTTCTAATCTAAAAAAAGAAGAAAATTGGAATTGGAAAATTCAATAACAATTTTTCTCCAAGCAAACAAACATCGCCTTGAAATTTCGCGAATTTTTTTTTTTTCTTTTTCATTTCACGGCATAATTTTTATTCTCGTAAATTGTAACGCTTTATATTTATAGTGTTGCAATAAACGGGATCGAGACGAATCGCTCGAACGAACTGGTTTAGTCAAATCGAGTAGTTTCGATCGTTTCTCATCATCGAGTTTGGTTAACACGTAGCAAACCACAAAAACATCGAATTCAGGTCGTGACATCGAAAACTGCATTTCGATCGACTCTGTTGCCTCTGTGTTCTGGCGCTGACCCGAAAACCACGATGCGATCACTTGGACCGAATAGTCATCTGCTTTCCGCCGTAAAATCCAAAATATCCTCGTGGAAAATTACCATCTCACGGGAAAAAATTAAAATTGAAATTTCTATACCGTTTAAAATGGAAATAATTAAAAACCATCATTTTCAATTTTTATTCAACGTTTCATTTCGATCGTGATTTTTATTTTATTCGCCAACAACGGAAGAAATTTCGCCACTTCTAAAATAAGACTCGACAAAGATATGGAACTCGAAAGGTAGTATCTCGTAGATAAGAGATTTGTAGGTAAGAACTTTCCAAGCGAAGCTTACAAGTTGAATTTGAAGCTAGCATCTCGAAAAGACCGAATTTTCCTTTCGAGTAATTCGAGCTTTATTTCCCAACGATATCTGGAAAACTTCTTTCTCCGTGCAAAAGCAACGCAACGATTCCTCTAACTTCGATTTATATAAATATAATCTAAATGGGCGCTAGAATAATCTCTTTTCAACGAAGAAGAGAGAGAGAAAAGAAAGAAGGAAAGAAAGAAAGAAAGAAGATGTCAAAGAAACAACTAATAGACAAGCAAATACATTCGTATTATTCTCGCGTTTCAATCAAGAGGAAGCAACGTGTTCGATTAAACGGAACTTGGTCGTGCTCGTCAAGAGAAATGCTTCGTCATACATCGAAAAACACTTAATCGGAGTGGAGGCGAAGAAAGGCGCGTTTGCTGAAGTGTAATGCAATTAAAATTATCAGTCCGCGTGGGCTGGGGCGGCACACGAGATGCAACGACACGCGGGGACTGCGTCTGAAAATAGTACGGAAATAGTGGTTCCAGGCAGCGTGGTGAGACGGTTTAAAATTGGCATAAAACTAGGCTACATTCCATTCGACCCTTTCAGAAAATGGTTTAGCGCATGCAATCATTGTGCAATACGAGCTCGTCGCGTGAGTTATTCCGCGTATATATATAAATAACCGTGTATCTTGCACACTATCGGCTAATAATCTTATCGAGACACGACACTTAAATTATCATCCTACACATGGTGAGAATATTTTCTAAGACGAGTAATAAATACTAATGTTGGTAAATATATCTACGTTGTAGAGAGATTAAATTAATTGGCCATCTAATCGGAAGAACAGGGCGTAAATGGACGAAGCGGATCGTTCGATGGATCGAAAGAAAAAAAAAAAAAAAAAAAAAGAAAAATGTTATCGGGAAGGGGGGATTTTTAGAAGGCGTAGTTTTTCAGCCTCATAGGCTTAGGCAATTCCTTGGCAGCTGTGGCCCCGCTCCATGGGATTTTTGGCATCTCCAAAACCGACGACAGGTCCATCGAGTCTTCTTCCGGATTCAACCAATCACTGGAAAGAAAATAGTAAATCGTGTTCTAAATCTTCCTCGAAATTCTAGAAGCCTCGAATATATATTTTCAACGCGACACGGATCCAGATTCGATCTAATTTGATTAGAATCGATTCCCTCGCTCGTATTAATAGGTCTAACGCGAGACACGAGGAAAGCTTCGTTGCAATAAACATTTACAATGAATGGACGTTATCTCGAGCTATATTTTTTTCTTTTTTTCTTTTACTATTATAGGATAAGAGACTTATCGATATCGCAAGCAGCGATAATAAAAGTATATAAAAGCGAGTTTCGCGAATCTTTGTTACCATTGTAAATAATCGCGTGGGACAATTATGCAAAGGCAATAAAAACTCTACCTATATCTCGGCTCAACGGTTTCAATCTCGTCCGAGACGGCCTCTTCATCAAGGCCCCGGTCCACGTCATCGCCTGTTGCACCGTCCAACCATTCGTTCCTCGTTTGATTCATCGTTCCTACCGTATCCGTGTCGTTCTCATTTCCATCGATAATCTGCTCGTAGGCGTTTCTCACGGAACCACTTATAAAGGTTCGATCATCGATCGACGTCTTCGTGTCGTCCGGATATCGATGCAACACGTTCCTATCGTAATAATACTGACCAGGCTTCCTCGCTCTGTTCTTATCCGATCGAACGACCAACGGTTTCGGAATTTCGCTCGTAACCCGATCCTCCATTTTATCAACCTTATACCCCGCCGCTTCGCTTATCGTCCCCTCCGTCACGATCGTCGCACCGTGAATCTTGGATGGATTTCGCGTCGCTAAACTGTGATAGAAACTCGTTTCGAACGGATCGTTGCCCGTTCGATCATCGTTCTGCGCCGGTGTCGAATAATACGTTGTACGATCGTAGCTGTGGGACCCGGTCGAATCTCGATCGAGTCGATCGTTCGTTGGAGAAGATGTTGCGGAGGAACTCGAATACGAAGTCGAATAATAGCTGTGAGATCTGGTCGAATCTCGATGATCGATCGTTGGAGAAGCGGTCGAAGTCGAATAATAGCTGTGAGACTCGGTCGAATCTCGATGATCGATCATTGGAGAAGCGGTCGAATAATAGTTGTGAGACCCGGTCGAATCTCGATGATCGAGTCGGTCGTTCGTTGGAAAAGCGGTCGAAATCGAATAATAGCTGTGAGACCCAGTCGAATCTCGATGATCGAGTCGATCATTGGTTGGAGAAGCGGTCGAATAATAGCTGTGGGATTCGGTCGAATCTCGATGATCGAGTCGATCGTTCGTTGGAGAAGACATTGCGGAGGAACTCGAATACGCAGTCGAAGTCGAATAATAGCTGTGAGACCCGGTCGAATCTCGATGATCGATCATTGGAGAAGCGGTCGAATAATAGCTGTGAGATCTGGTCGAATCTCGATGATCGATCATTGGAGAAGCGGTCGAATAATAACTGTGAGATTCGGTCGAATCTCGATGATCGAGTCGATCGTTGGTTGGAGAAACGGTCGAATAATAGCTGTGAGACCCAATCGAATGATGATCGAGTCGATCGTTGGTTGGAGAAGCGGTCGAATAATAGCTGTGAGATTCGGTCGAATCTCGACGATCGAGTCGATCGTTGGTTGGAGAAGGCGTTGCGGAGGAATACGCGGTCGAATCTGGATGATCGACGCTTCCCTTGTTGCTTAAGCTCGCCGCGAATCCGTGATGATCGGGAGCCCCGTGGATCGGTTTTCGATGAGGCGCAGCGCTCGAACGGTACACTGGATTCGCGCGATCCGAGGACACGGTGTATCCATTTTCGGAATCCTTGGCTCGATTCCGCTCGGTGCTCGCCGGTTCCGTAAAAGGGCGGCTCGTGAGAGACCCGGGCGAAGGCGAGGATCGATAGCGCAATTTCTGCCAAACATCGGATCGATCGTGGTGCAATTGGTCCGAGGAATCGCGAACAGGCGTGGGCGATTGGGATACGCGATTCCAGATCGCGTGAACGCTGTGAATCGGGGTTCGCGTGCCGGGCGGAAATTTGAGGAAATTGGTGTAATACGTGTACAAAGTCGGGCTGGGGCTGGTCCCGGGGAAGCTGTCGAACACCACGTCCTCGGACGCGTAAGTTGGCCGACGAAGTTGGATCGATGGGTTCGGATTATTCGGATCGTGGAAAGCGTAGGGGACGTAAGGGCGACCGGTGTGAAAGTTTGCCAAAGGATGGACGGTGGGTATGGGTTTGGGCGGGGGCACGTAGACGGGGATGTGCAGCAATCCGTGGGGGATATCCATCTGTTGCGTCTCTTTCTCTCGAGTTTGTTGATTGAGGGAAGGATTCACCCTTATGTCGGACCCGTAAATGGCGTCGTTCACGAACACGGGGGAATTGATGGCGTTATTTTGCACGACTATGGTAAGATTGTCGGACGGGTGGAGAGGTTTCTTCACCACGATCCTATTCTGCTGATGGACGCTCGCCTTCGGAGGATTCAAATTGTTGTGCGGTGCTATTGCAGCTTGGTGAGGGACGCTTCTCGACGTGCTCGACGCGGCAATGCTCTCCTGAGGAGGTGTTACACCGGTCGAGGTGATTCTCTTCTTTATAGTATCCAGTATCCCCCTTCTTCTGAAGGGGGGTTCCTGTAAATTTTGGGAGGGCTTCTCCGCCCAAAATTTCAAGTTGAATCGGTGAACGAGGGAATCGTTGCAGGGCAGAGGTTGATTCTTCAAGGTGTCTCGCGTCAAGAACACGAACGGTTGAACGGTCTCGATATCGTCCATCGTGATGCAGAGGACCTGGGACAGGGTGACGCGTCTGATTTGTTGAAGCTGCCCAGCCGTGAAACTGTTCTCCTCTCCAGAATTCTCGTACCAGAATCTATCGCCCCGACGAAGGTTATTGAACTGTTGGCCGATTATACAGGCGAACGTGGGCCCGACCAAACCGCCCTTCACCGATTTCTCCGCAATCCCGCCGGTGAACAAATCGATATCCTCCACCGACGAATACACCGATCTGAACTTGCTCGCGGTGGACGGTGGGATCGCTTTGTCCAAGTCGTCGAAGTCTCTTATGGGGGACAGGGCGCAGGGTTCTCGCCAGTGGACGTAGGGGGGGATACCGTGATCCCTTCCTCGTTGGATGTTGATGGAGGCCAGATCCATCCCGAAGGGGAAGCCCGGGGTTTGGAACAGGTGATTGGTCAATTCTTCGCTTATGTGCTCGTCCCTTCTCTGGGCGGGTTGATTGATCAGGCCGAGAAGAAGGCGATCCACGGATCCCGCTGTCTCCAAATCGCCTAGATTTGCCAGCTCGTCGTGAATCGAGACATCTGGAAAATTCACGTCCAATTTCATCTTTTCGTTTTTCGATTTTTAAATTTCTTCTTTCGCTCCATTTCATCGTACACGACGGAATACCGACTGTTGAAAATAGGCCGATGGTCGCTGTCGAACCGGACGAAGCTGGGCTGGACCAGGGAGTGGCCGAAGCGGTAAGCGGCCGTGGAGAACGCATTCGCGACGGTCGGGTTCACGTTCGGATCGTAACCCTCGTAATATCCTTTCCTCAGGAGTTCGAGGCCGAATATTCTCATCACATCCTGACCTGAAACGTCATTGCATCTCTCTCCACTTCTTTCTCGATTTCTCGAATGGATATATAATATTTGTAACATGGATCCGAGCGAGTTTCAGTCGCGATCATTAGATTCGAACGAATTTATCGATTTACCAAGGACAATGGGCAGAAATTCTCTGTAGGTGATGTGCTGGACAATGGCTGCGACGATTCTCCGGGATTCTTGAAACAGTTTCTCGTCGCTCCAGTGGGCGTTCAACGCGGCAAGTTTCGTCGCTATTCTATTGTGCAGCCTCAAAAAAACCACGTGGAGGGAAGTGAGGGCGGGTTGCTCGACGAGGCGGCCGTCGCCGGCTTTGAAGCAGCTCGTGGATAACGAGCCGCGTCTGCAAATGTCGGGATCCATTTTGGCCAGCACTGGCCTGTGCGACTGAATCTTTCCGTACTGCAACAGACCTGCGACGGAGAGACGTATAAAATTATCTCTCTTTTTAATTTTTTTTTTTTTCTAAGAGATGGCATGAAATTTTAATAACGAAAGAAGAAATCGTTTCGAACGAGTCTCACCGTTTCGAAATAATCTTAAAGAGTCCGTTACGAAAGGGTGGCTGCTGTACACCATGGAAGCGTCCAGGTAGCTCGTCACTTGCGTCAATTGCTCCCTGGGCCCGAACTCGCAGTCATCTTTCGGCGCTGGACCGCTTCGAGCGAATTCTAAACACCTGATACCCAGTGGGCCGAAGAAATGGTCTTGCGGGCTGACCGGTATCGGTAAACACTCTGGATGCTGTGGATGCACAGTTTTAATCCCCCGGCAAACTGGTAAATTATCGAGTTCTCGAGAGATAATTACCATAAATTCCGGCGGTTGGAAGCCTAAGCCAGATTTCAGGCAACACTGTGGTACACTGCCGTTAAATCCTCTGCTTTGTCCGGTGGCTGGAGAGAATATTAAATGAAAATTCTAATCTCTCGGTATATTATAATCGTTTAGAAATTAGAAAATGAAAAGTTTTACAATCGTTCAGAATTTCGAGTTCCTAGGAAGCCCTCGCTGCATCATGTCCTTGTGAATTATTATTGCGTTTAAAAGTATTAAAATGAAAATTCTACTCTCTCAGATGTACCGATATATCATTTGAAAATGAAATATTTAAACAAGTTTTACAATCGTTCCAAATTTCTGACAAGAATTCAAATCCATAAAATGCCTCACTGCATCAACGCATGAATAACACGCTCGAAAGAAATATTTTTATTGCGAATTATTGCGCTCAAGAGAATATTAAAATAAAAATTCTATTCTCTCAGAGCAATGTATCATTTACCGATTAGAAAATTAGAAAACGAAATATTTGAACAAGTTTTACAATAACGTTCTGAATTTTTAAAATTCACATCCGTCAAATCATTGCTGATAACAGATTAACAGAATCAAAAACATCTTTGTCCTTGTGAATGATTATCAAGAATATTAAAATGAAGATTCTCAGACCAATGTATCATTCGCCTATTATTAGAAAATTAGAATTATTTAAACAAAAGTTTTCGATTCGTTTATCGTTGTGAAATTTGTACAAGAAGAAGAATTCGCACCTGTCAAGTCATGGTCGATAAATTGCCCCCACTGCATCAGCATATGAGTGACAGACTCCAAAGGAACATCTTTGTCCTTGTGAATTATTGCGCTTATCAGTCTCGGGCTTGGAAGCGGTTCCCCGGTTATCGATCTCCTGATACTCTGAATTCCATCCCCGTAAATTGGTGGCAAGAATCTGACGAGCAAAAATCATTATCCACCTTTCGTAAGATCGATCTCTCAAACATCTCTTCTATATATATATATATATATCTCAATTCCTCGCGTCTCGTCCGAATCACCTTTCCATCGCGGACATGGCCGAGCCCCACCAGAGATGCTTCAGGTTGTTACAGCTTCCATCGGACGTTCTGTATCTCAAACTAGCCGCTGGACAGTCTGGAACTCCTCTGTTCGGGCAGCTACGTCGGAGTGGATCGCTTTGACTCCGACGTAGAGACAGAAGCGTGTCCGTCGGCGTGTTCGGGAATCTTGAGGGAAAATTTGAAGGGATCATTTGTCGGGAAAGACGCAGAAGAGAAGTTGGCAAGTTGGTGCGCTACTCACTTTCTTTTGAACAACGTGGCGCCCTGGAGAACAGCGTAACCGTACTTGGCGAGCATTCTTGCCTCCTCTGTTTGGTCGTTAAAAAATGCCACGTGCCTCGCGGGATTGTCCGAATCGAGGTAAAGGCCTGTTAACGTTCGATATCGGTTGGTAACTGTTAGAAGCTCGAAACAGGATATTTTATCACATATTTTATATATACCATCCCCGATTATTTTTAATAGAATACCAATAGAGATTGGCCAAGTATCAGAGGCTTATAACGCGAATAAAGATAAAACTCTTCTCTTTGTTACTCCCGTTTAATATCTTATCCGTTTAATATCTCCCTCCATTTTATGCGATTTTATTGGTAAGAAGCTTTCTCGTATCGGAGGATCATAAGAAAGTAGAGGTGAGCGTGTAATAACTTTTCTCTATCACGGTTTCGTTAACCTCTGTTACCCTTCTGTGCCTCTGATACCATCGACTGATTCTCGTTACGTTTTCACTGACCGAAACTTCCGTACACCGACGAAGCAACGACAAAAAGAAGGAAAATATTAATCGAAACTAGATTTCGATCAAATCTATCTCGCTCTCCTTCTTACCTACACGCGATATTTTTTCTTAAAAAAAAAAAATTTACAACGCGTTCAATTAACGCGATATCTGAAAAAGAATAAAACTCACCCATCGAGTAAAGCATCGGTTCCTTGACCGTGTACAACTCGTTCATGGCGTCGAGGCCAAAATTAACCGCCTCTAATAAATCGTGTTGATCGGGTTGATAATTCTTCCTTTCCATCGAAGTTACCCCGTATTCCTTTCCATTACTCCCCACCGTTGTCCCCGAATAAACTCCTCCCTCGGGATCCCTTTGCGAATATTTTTCCTCGTCCTTCCCTCCATCCGACGGCCTTGAATTCCCCACCTTCGAAAATCGATCGATCTTATCGTTATCGACGTCAGCCGCGTCTCCTTTCTCGCCGTTTAGAATCTTCCTCTTGTCGACCGATTGTCCCACGCGTTCGAATAATTTCCGCACGAATTCCACGATCTGTTTGTACCGATTCGGATCCTCGGGGATGAACAAAGTCTCTACCGTTTCGGAATTGTTACGGAATTGTTCGTTCGCGTAACTCGTTGAATCATTTATCGATCGAGGAGCCGTGCCGGTCGAAGATGGTTCCGTGCTTGTTGATTCCCCATTCTTGTTCGCAACTGATTTCGACAGACCGGAGGAGAGAAGGACGAGGAGGACGCTGAAAAAAAACGCGATCTTTCGTGAAATATTATTTTTTTTTTAGTCGGTTGAGAAGAGAAGAAAAAGATCTTTTAAAAAATTCATCGTTTAATTCTCGATTAAGAGAATCGAAAAAAACTCGCTTCAAAATTCTCTTTCATTCTAATCATCGTCAAATTTATCGTCAAAATCGTTATTTCTTCTTCTTCTTACGAGAAGGGAGAAGGTAGTTTTCCCTCGCAAACGCTTTAATTATCCATGGTGACGAGCGGTGGACGACGATGTCAGTTTCGCATTTTCTCGACCGTGACATTAACTTTCTCACGGGTTAAATCGCGTAGGAAAGAGCAAACAACGCGAACGCTCGTCCCTGGCACGCGTTGAATACCGTTGCTCGCAGCACGTGCGGCCACCGCATTTGCATTCCACCGTGTTAGCCGCATTTAATTGCACCGATCGCGGTAGACCGATCGACGATACTGCCGCGTTCACTGCCCACTACGAGATCTCGCAATTCTCGTCACGGTGAAATCGAACTGGATCATCGATCACCGATGCGTAAGTACGCGCTCCTAATATGCAAATCTCTCGTTAGGCGTGCAGTTTTTCTACTCGATCGCTCGCCCGGAATACCAGATCTACCAGATGAAACGCGGACTTTCTTCACCGATGGATCCTACGATAGATTACGTATTTCACTCTTAATTTCCATTCCTTGCTCGAAACCTTTGCAATTTGGATAGAATTTCGAACCGAGATCTTTCGATTTTCTTTCTTTTTAACTTTGACTACGTGGAAAATTAGGTGGAAAGATGGAAAAGAAAAGAAAAGGAAAATGTAACGATGATGAAAAAATTGAGGAATGATTCGAATAACAACGAAATTCCAAGTATTATGACCAGGTAACACAAATCTTTATTTGGAATGTGGAGAGATGTAACGGGACCATCGATCGTGAAATGTTAGTACTGTTCAAAACGAAACGACATTTTCAATAATAACAAAATAAATAATTCTCGAAGAAATACCCTCAAATACCATAATTTGAAATCGTTGCAAAATTTTCAATTTCTAAATTGAACAAACGATTAATTCTCCAAACTCGTATCGTAACTCTATAATAAAAACCGAATGAACAAAATATGCAAACGGAACAAGAGACGGGAGAAGAAGAGAGCGTAGTTTCTGGATAGAAATCCAGAAATCCAGAAAGAAAGAAAAAAAGAAACTCACTAGAAGAAAGGACGCATGTCAACAAGTGTCTCTTCTGGCTGAGCACTCTGACCTAGGCCACACGGTTCAACCCTTCCCTTCAACGATCCCGCAACAACGATCGCGCAAAACGTTTGATTCGCGTGATACGTGGCCTTCCCGCGAACGGTTCACCAAGTACTAAGCCTCGTGGGGGCCGATCGACCGGTCTTATCCACGAGGAAGGATGCAAGAGCCTATTTTTTTATTTATTTTTTTCTTCACGCTTTTTACTCGATCAGCCGGTCGCGCGCTTATTTTTTCCTTTCTTTCTTTCTTTCTTTCTTTCTTTCTTTCTTTCTTTCCCCTTTGGATTTTTACTGTTATTCAGGCTGCCCCTCCGGGCATCGCCTCTTCTTCGATTTCGACCAACCGTTTCGCGATGGCGTTGGAGAGGAGTTGAATCCTCCTCCTCTCTCTCTCTCTCTCTCTCTCTCTCTCTCTCTCTCTCTCTCTCCCTCTGCCGTCTCAACGCGGAGACGCGTTATAAACGTATAAGGGGAAAAGGAGAAGGAGAAGAAATCTATGGAATCGAATAGACGGGTTTGAAGAGACATCGTGCTCGATTCTCTCGGTTGGAACGGTGATTTGGAGAGGAGCCGAGATCGACGCGATATGGTAATTCGTGCCTCGTCGCTAACTGTTTAATCTCTATGCTCGCGATGATTGGTTCTTGTTTCTCCTCTTAATTTTAACGCGTCGATAAGGGTTTGACCGATGTCGGCGCAACATTTAATACGGGGATCGTAATGAGAGGGGGAGTTTATTTTTAAAGTAAGCGTTATTCTTTAAAAGTAGGGAGAAAATTTTTGTTATTTAAACGAAGGGATAATTCACGTACCTTGTCAGTGTCTGGCAGCTTTCTCTTGCGCCTGCAAGCTGGCGATCGCTTTCCCAGACCCGTACAACACTTTGGCGCGTACCTGTACTCTTCTGGTGGTGGTGCAAGAGCTTGGAGAGCCGGAGGACCCGGTTCCGGTCCCACCACCGGAAGTCGAGCTCAACTGCAGCGTCGTCCCTGCATAATTCGCACCCCTGCAACTCGTGCACCCCTCCGACATTCTCGCTCCTTGAATATCCGCTCGTGTTAAAATCCGAATGCCTGAACCAAAGTTAACTAACCTTACAATCGTTCACGAGTTATTTTCTTATACGGATTTCCCTACAATTTTCCTTGTTAAATTCCTCCCGAATTCTTAAACAACCATCTTTTTACGAGGATCAAAGTCCAAGTTTATTCCACTTCTTCTCGTGTCCATTTTCTATTTAAACACGGTTGAAAGTTGATCGAAATGATGCTTACGTGTGAAGAATTAATCCGCTCCTTATATTACATTCGCTATAATTGGAAAAAAAGTACTTTATCAAATATCCAGCTCGATCGCTCTCGATAAAAAGAAAAAGGTATACAATAAAAATTCTCTCCGTCAACTTTCTTCAATTTCCTTCACTTTTCCTTAGCTCGCCAATTTCCCTAATTCTTATTCCGTAATTCGACGCTAAAATTGTATTCCAAGAAGCGAAGAAATAACGGTGTTACACGAGGGATTACAATATAGCGAGCACGGCTCTGACCTGTGCGCCGTTCACCATAAATCCGGGAAAATCTGGGTTAATTATACTAATGGCAGTATAAGGCGAGCTTTCCTACCGGTGACCTTACCGGAAAAAGGCGAGACACGGTAACTTCCCTGGCGTCGCCGTTAAAGTGAATTTTACGCCATCGGGTAGGAACAGTGTCCCCGATGGGACGATATTCCTCCAATTTCTTTCAAACGGCTGCTTTCGTCTCGCGAAAGAAGAAGAAGAAATATTGTTGGCTGGAAACGTTCAACGAGAGGATAATAATTCCACGATTTGTCCACATTCCGAGAATTTGGAGTCTTGGATCCGAGAAAACGGATCGTTCGTTGTTCGCGATCGTTTCAATTTTTATTAAAAGGGTGTAACGGCGACTTCGAAAGAAATCGATGAAAGAAATTATTGGATACGAGAAAAGATAAGAATCTCTCTCCGGCACCAAGTTAGCGAACAGTTAGTCACATCCGGTCTTTTAACCCACTGCCTTACAATCTCCAAGACAATTCTCCAAGTCACCATCCAAATTCGGTAATCTAAACTCACGAATTATCATCAACGAAATCTCTACTTTCGATAGATAGGAGGTTGAAAAATTGATTGATTAAAATTGATTCAAACAAAAAGTTACTTTAACCGATAACCTAATTTAAAATGCTCGTACAACATTTATTACGTAACTCTTCAACTTTTTCGACAGTTACTAAATTAATCGCGATTCCTCGATGCTTCGTAACGGCAAAATTATTCGACTAACTTTATCCTCAACTCCAACCGTTAAAAATTTTGCCCATCACTGTTTCACCAAAAAAACCGATAAAAAGAAAAAAAAACCCGAAAAATAACAAGATATATAAAAAGAAAAAATTATTACAAACAAGTTAAAACGAATGTAATCGAATCCTCGTATATTTAGCTCGAATTGAAAACGTACACGAGGAATCGTTTATCCAGCGAAGGGGCGACGCATCCTCCGATGTTTAGTTTAGGCGTGTTATTCGTGGTCCTGATACTCGGTGATAGAGCTCACTGCGATCGGCGACGACGTCCGTGTCGGTTCTGCACGTCGACCAAACTGATCGCTCGAGACGGCCTCGTGGTAACGCTTACCACGACCGCCTCGTCTCTCTTTTCTTCTTCGTCTTGGGGTCTTGGCTGCCGATCTCTCCTTCGTCGTCGTCGTTGTCCTCCGACCAACGTGTCCCCGCCAAGGAGGGGACACCCGGAGAAGTGGCCTCCACTCTTAGCCGACTCTGACTCACGATCCTGAGGTACAGTCGTTCCTGATAACACGCCACGCCGCTCTGATAACAGTCTTCTCGAAACTCATCGCCCCAACAATGAGGATTTTCAGCTTACGAGGACGCGGTTATTACCGGCCATTGTTCTCCTCCTCCTCCTCCTCCTCCTCCTCCTTGCCTCTACCGATTCTTCTTTGTTCTCCTTTCGGATGGGGAAGACGAGAGGACCGTCTCTCTTTCGCCGATTCTCCTTGGATTTTCATTAATTTTTCCCGAGAGGAATGATGTTCCTCGTTTGGAGGAACAGTTTGTTGTACAGTTGACGAGGAAATTTGTACGAAGGCTTGGAATCTTTTATCCGTTTGGTTTTTTCAATTTTCTTTTTTTTTTATGATTCTTCGAAAGCAGGCGAAATCGGCTTCTTTTTTTTAATGAAATTATTATATCAGGCGAAGAACGTTTTCGTCGAATTCTCTTTGATATTGATCGAATTGTGAATCTTAAAGAGATCGTTGGAGAAAATACGATTTCTTGCTCGGCTAGGAGATACTTTGCTCGAGAGAGGATAAAATTGTTTGGTGAAAAGGTGAGATTATTTAAGGAAAAGCGGCGCGATAGCAGAACTGACTGTACTGAGTGTGATACGGGGACATTGGCGAAGGAGGGAGAGGGCATGCAGGGGCCACAGATCGGTACGCAGACCCAACTGCGAAACCTAACCTTCGATCGGTAAAAATTCGACTGGCGAACGGCCGGACCTTGTGTCCCATATAAGTCTTTCGCAACACGGTTGGTACACGTGTACGCGAGCCTGAAAGATCCGTGTAAAATCGAGCCCTCTGCCGATCTTAGGGCTCGTATTCGTGCCGAACTTTTCTCGAAAAAAAAAAAAGAAGAAAAATATTCAATCGTAGAAAATTCAATTCAAACGTTTCCTATTCCTAAAACATAATCCAATTGTGGAAAACAACGTTTCAAGAAATTTTAGAAATCTTAAAATTTGGACGTAGGTTATCGTTCAATTAAATTAAAAATATTCGTCGCAAGGAACAGGTGCAAACTCTTAATAGAAATTCTTTCGGTCCAATCATTAGTCCGTTATGGAAGCGTGAAAAGAACGCTAAAAAAAAAAAAAGAAAAAGTAAGTGTTTCAAGCACCACTCCTCGGGTCGTAAAAAAAAAAAAAAAAGAAAAGAGAGAGAGAAAAAAATATTAAGAGTTCCTCGAAGCTGTAGAGTGGAAACCGAAGCGAGAGATCCGGGCAATTGGATACCCTTTCCACAAAGAATTGTTTCACATCCTCCGGTCCACGGTTCATAGCCTCGATCGCAGATGCAAGAAGCGTGATCGAGAAAGAACTAGACGGTCCAGTTCCCTGTCAATAACTGGAGCGACGATGCCGGGTGAATCGATCCCATTGACACCGGATTTGCCAGGAGCTTCTAGCCTCGTTCTACGCGAGTTGACCTACTGTTTCGCATTAACGTCGTCCGCGGTATCGGTAACTATATATCTTTCTCTCTCTCTCTCTCTCTCTCTCTCTCTCGTCTTATGTCAGCATCCGTTTCCAATCATCCTTCCAAAATTCTCCAACGACGAGTTTTATTTCGTTTAATTTTTCACTGCTTTACAATTTGCTCTTTCGACTCTTTCGATTCGAGGTCGCCGCCTCGAAGATTCTTACGTCAGAATTTTCCTGTTATTCGTCTCACGTATTCTAATTTCCTCCTGGCTTCCCGTGTTCCACGTCGAGCGAGAAGAGAGAGAGAGAGAGAGAGAGACCGGTTGCGATCCTTCGACCGTTTTCCGCGAGACGGAGAGCGAATATCAATCAAATTATTACGGCAATCTGGCTCTCGTGACAGCCTCGGGAACAGACTCTCGACACAATGCGGCGTGTCGTAATCCATCGATCGAAAGACGCGTGAACACGGATCACGGATGCGTCGTTTTCGTTTCGGTTTCGAAGAGATCGTGCTCGAGTTTATTAGAGCCATCCTGACGGCTGTTATTAGCCTCGATGATTGGGCTCGTTCGTTGGGTAATTGGCCGAGGCCAGTTGTTGTTTCGTCGGTGATTTCATTGATTTTTACCAGGGTAAGAATTATTCTCCGTCAATCGAGAAAAAGTTTTAAATTTGGATCGTTTCGATATCGATATCGAGCATTCTCTCGAGCCTCGTTCCTTCCCTTTTTCCGATTATCCGTATGATAATTAAACCTCCTGTTATCCCCCCCCCCCCTACAAATTGTAGAATAATTTTTAACCAAGGAAAGTGTATTTTTAATCGGAAAGTGTATTTTTTGGAGGTAGCGCAACGCGGAGGAAACGAGCGAAGGAACGAAGCGATGTGAACCGCCGAGTATCCCGCTGTCAGTATCGTCAGTGGGTCAGTTAACAACGGGGTCAGCCGAGGGCGAATCCGGAGTGCGGGTCAGCCAATCACCTCGTGCGGTTCCGTCTTCCCGACAATGACTATTAACTGTATATGCACCCACAAAACCAAATTTGTCGGCGTGACTGGAGCGTGACCAACTCTTTTACACCCCTCTTCTCTAATATTTATTTAACCCCCTTCCATCTTCGATCACTTCGTTTCGATCTATTCAATTTAATCATCGATAGCCATCGCTCTCTTGTAATAAAAAACAAACACGATGATAATTCAAAAATTTCTTCTTCCAAATTCGATTACAAATTATTTTTGTCATATAACGTCGATTGGAAAATATTTCGTATCTCTTATCGTCGTCGTCGAATGGAATGGAGGGAGAAATGGTGGCAAATGAAGAAAGATTATTAACTCGTGCATACGGTACCGAGCTTCCGGCTCGAGTCGCCTAGCGGTTGCTCTTTATCGTGAGGCAATTGCGACTGTGATTAATGATTCCAACGTTAATCTCCCAGCCTTTTGTTCCTCTTGACTCGTATATCTTGCGATACAAATATCAACCAACTCGAAGCAAGCAGATTGAAACGTTAGAAAATTTCTAATTCCGACAAATTTCGCTCGACGGTAAATTAATTCGCTTTCGTTCATCGAATTATCAACCAATACTTTTAATAATAATATTTTTAATATTTTCAATTTTTTTTCGTAACACTTTTAAAACTTTGTGGTTAACTTAGCACGATAGGAGTAAAAAGTAAAAAGCAGGCAACATTATTAAAAATGAGCGAGAAATTAATTCGCTTTCGTTCATCGAATTATCAACCAATACTTTTAATAATAATATTTTTAATAATAATAATTTTCAATTTTTTTTGTAACACTTTGGTGGTTAACTTAGCACAATAGGAGTAAAAAGGCAACATTATTATTAAAAAATGAGCGAGAAATCGAAGAAGTTGGCCGACCTATGGCTCGGAGGGGATGCCCTGACAGTACGTTTTTCATTACCACAGATCTCCTCTTGGGAACTAGCCGGAAGACCAGAGTGCACAATTGCACCAGGTGGGGGATAAATAAGGAGTAGGTGGCTCGATGAGATGAGACGAGAAACGAGACGGAAGTGGGTCAGCGGGACTCTCGGTCGTGAGGGTCCGGGTTCATTTCGCCTCTTCTCGAGAGTTATGGCTTGCGCTGCCTAATGAAATAAAGCCTTGTATATCAAGTCTTGTATAATCGAATTAAGTAACGCGGAAATCAAAAGAAACAGTAAAATACGATTTACTCGTGTCTTTTTTTTTTTTTCCAAATTAATTTCAAACTTCAACTCTATCTCCACTTTTGTGTATAAAAATTAATTATCGCACGATGAAGAATATATTTCTTATTTTGAAAAATTCATTTAACTTGTTGCTGATGATTTTTATAACATCGATGTTCCGTTAAAAAACGTAATATGGTTGAGAATAATCGACTTCAATTTCTTCGATAATTTTCATTTATATTTTATACATACATAGATTTCTTTGAATATTTACAAGTAGTTCGTTCATTCGTTTTCTTTTCTTTTTTTTTTTTTTGGAACTCCCGGTCTGAGAGGAAAATCAGGGCTTCTCGAAATTCGTTTTCCTCCCACAATAACGCTTAACTGCTAATGATTATTTTACACTCAACATCGATAAACACTCAGGTAGAGCTAATAAATTTTTCTAGCGTTCTATTAAGATCTTTCTCAGCATTCTTCTTCTATTTTTGCCACTCATTGCACACATCTTCATCCCTGCTTAGTTATATTTCTGCTCGACGCGCAGACAGATTTCTCCGTATTTCCGTGCGAATCGCGGTTCCTCGATTAAATCTCTAACGAGTACGCGCTCTGGCAAAATATAAGTATAAATCTTTTTCATTTCCTCCTCCCTTCCTACCTCTCTTTTTATTTTTTTTTTTTTTGTTTTCTCGATAAAAAAATATCTGCATTGTATATTCTCGTTTAAACTTAGATGGCCCCTCGATCCATGATACCATTGTTCAATTGTATTCAAGCGAGGGGAATCCAATTTTGATGTTTCGTTTATATAGAGATAAAGGACGGATCCAATAGCGATGCAAACTCTTCTTATACACTATCCTCGAATATAAACAAGAAAAATTCAAAGAAAATAATCCTAACAAGTCTTGCACATTTTTGGAATACGTCGTGTCTTCGATCTTCGATTACTCGTGTAAATGAAAAATCTTTGTATCATCTTTGCCCTAGGATCTTGAAATATTGCATGCTATGACAAATATCGAACAGTGATATCATGCGATTAGGGTATATTTTACAATCTGCTCTGCATTCGTATTCGTATTCACGCGTTGTCTAGGTCGCTTAATAGGAAGTCCACGAGTGCCTGGAGTTTTAACAAGATCATCGACAAGTTCGATAACACAAAATCGACCTCGTCACGCTTTTCCTCTCTGACAAAGAAGTAAATAATAATAAAGAAATACGCGTACAATGCTCGTTCGACGAAAGAAAGAAAAACTCTAGAAACAAGACAGGAAACATCGCATGTTGCGCGAACAACGCGAAACAAATAATCAATGTAGTAATACGTGAATTCAAGAATAAAGAATAAGAAATACATTCGTTTAACAATGCTGTTCGCAATCTCGGCGGGAATAAAAATCTTAGTAATCGTAATAATACTTTTTCTTTTATTTCTACGCAACAGTCTATAAGCCTCTTTTATACGAATCACGTTTCGTCT